CAGAGTTGCATTATTTTTTTTTCACTTTTTAAATATATTTTTTATTGACTTCAGAGAGGAAGCGAGAGGGAGAGGGAGATGGAAACATCAATGAGAGAGAATCATTGATTGGCTACCTCCTGCACGTCCCCTACTTGGGATCAAGCCCACAACTTGGGCATGTGTCCTTGACTGGAATCGAACCCAGGACCCTTCAGTCCTCAGGTGACACTCTATTCACTGAGCCAGACCACTAGGGCCTCACAGTTGATTAACAAAATGTTACGGAGATATATTCTCATTGGAGCATGAAGATCTCCCTCTTTCATTATGATAGACCCAGAGCATTCTGTAGTTTGGGCATGCTGTGTTTACTTTAGCCATCCACCTTCTGAGGGGCATTTAGCTTGATTGCAGTCTGTTGCTGTTGAAAACAAAAAACCACACTGAAACTGCTAGAGGTAGAGTTGCTGGCTCTGAGCCCTTATATTTTTCTTTGTCACTTGACTTCCCCTCCCAGCTACCTGATATTCAACATTCTCCCCACACTGGCTGACATCATCATTGGCATCATCTACTTCAGCATGTTCTTCAATGCCTGGTTTGGCCTCATCGTGTTCCTGTGCATGAGTCTTTACCTCAGTGCGTGCTGCTTGGTGAAACCAGCTCCCTGAACTCTCCAAGGACTCCCTTGAGCATGAGCTCTGACCCCACTTGGGTGACCCAGTTTGGAAGACTATAGATTAGTGGACTTGAATAGTCTCCTCAGCTCCCCAATAATGGTGGATGGGCACACTCCTCGGCCATGGAAACTTTAGCTTAACCTGTGTGGAGGTCCAGGGCTTGTGGTCACATTAGGTCCCGTTGTGGATACGAGTCAAGGAGGAAGCTCACTGTGTCACAGATGCAGCTTGCCTTGATTTGCTCATCAAAAGCATTTTCACAGATGAGGCTTTGTACAGGCTGCAAAGATATCTTGGACACAGCCTCTTCCCTCAGGGAGCTTAGGATGTTCTCTCTTCAGAACCTGAGTCCCTGGACTGTAACGTAGGGTTAGTGTGTAGTAGGCATCAGACATACACATGTGGTTTCTGCTGTTGAAAATGTTGTCTTGATCTCTTCTCCTTTTCCCTCCTCCTTTCCTGCTATAGCCCTAACCATCGTGGTCACTGAGTGGAGAACAAAGTTTCGACGTGATATGAACACACAGGAAAATGCTACTCGGGCACGAGCCGTGGACTCTTTGCTAAACTTTGAAACGGTAACAGAGGCCTTAGTGGCAGTGGTGTGAAGCATGGAAATATGGAGGTTTGTGCCTGGGACCACCGAGGCTACTGAGGAGCTGGGGGGTGCAAGATGTGCTATTTAAAATTAGGAAGGAGGGATTGGGGATCTGGAAGCAATGATCCAGGTGCTGAATGCTGCAGCCATGTCAAATGGTGCTTTGAATTCATCAGGTGAAGTATTACAATGCAGAAGGTTATGAAGTGGAACGTTATCGAGAAGCCATCATTAAATATCAGGTGAGCACGCTAGTTTGAGGCCTACTGACAGCAATGGCCTGGCCTTGTGGAATTACCAGAGCCAAAAAGAATAAAATTTGGGCTGTGAGGTTGAAGGTGCCTGGGCCCAGGTTTGGATTTGGTGATGGTCAGCGCATATGTGACATTCCTCTCTCCCATGTTATTTCCACAGGGTTTGGAGTGGAAGTCAAGCGCATCACTGGTTTTACTAAATCAGACTCAGAACCTGGTGATTGGACTTGGGCTGCTTGCTGGCTCGCTGCTTTGTGCATACTTTGTCAGTGAGCAGAAGCTACAGGTGAGGGAATTGTGCTGGGGACAGGGAAGAGGGGGCCTGGGGTCTATGTCTGGCCACCAGGCTCCTGGGTGGGAAGCAGAGAGATGACAGGAAGTGGGCAGGGTGATAACCTGAAGGCCTCTTGTGGATGATCCTCTTCCCTGGATCTCCACAGGTCGGGGACTTTGTGCTTTTTGGCACCTACATCATCCAGCTGTACATGCCCCTCAACTGGTTTGGCACCTACTACAGGTAACCTGATCCCTGGCCCTCACCTGTGCAGTGCATTATTTCCCCAGCTCCTCAGAGGAGCTCCAACCATTACCTGCTTGCAGGATGATCCAGACCAACTTCATTGACATGGAGAACATGTTTGACCTGCTGAAGGAGGAGACAGAAGTGAGTGAAGAGAGAGGAGTGGGGCTTGGGGGAGTGAGAGCCACGTGGTATTTCTGGTGTCTGGAGGATACCAGACCTGTAACAGCGCCGTGCATTGGTGACACTCTCCCAGGTGAAGGACCTTGCTGGAGCAGGGCCCCTTCGCTTCCAGAGGGGCCAGATTGAGTTTGAGAACGTGCACTTCAGCTACGCTGATGGGTGAGCCCCTCCCCTTTTGCCGTCCCTGGACCCTTTCCCACTGTCTACTTACTGCCTTCCTGCCCCTCATCCCTGCTTCTTAGCCATCCCTGCTTCTTGGGAAGAGAGCCCACACAGGGGAGGGTCAGGGCCGAGTAGTAGCTCTGGTGATGGAAGGGGGCACTGGGAGTGCAGCAGGCCTGCTGACCATACCCGCTCTTCTTGCAGGCGGGAGACCCTGCAGGATGTGTCCTTCACTGTAATGCCTGGGCAGACCCTGGCCCTGGTAAGAGGAAACCCAGCCACTTGGCCCAGCCTTCTCCATCTTCCCTTATTCCAGTGTCCATGGTAGCTTGTGACCCAGGCTGGGAGTTAGAGAGCCCTGTCATGTGTGGTCACATGTGAATGTGGCAGCCTCCATGGACATTAGTACCCTCTTGGAGAAAAAGCCTTAAAAGCCAACAGGCCTAAGAATGCGTTTCCCTTACAACAGGTGGGCCCATCTGGAGCAGGGAAGAGCACAATTTTGCGTCTGCTCTTTCGCTTCTATGACATCAGCTCTGGCTGCATCCGAATAGATGGTCAGGACATTTCACAGGTGAGGTTGTTTGGGAGGAAACTGTCATTGTGTGTAAAAGAATGGTTAACTGCTGAGCATCCAGGGAGAGGAGGAGACCTCACCTCTTCAAAAAGCTGGGGCAGGAGACCTTAGCCCAGGGGTGGGCAACCTTTTGACTCGAAGGCCACAATGGGTTCTTAAACTGGACCGGAGGGCCGGAACAAAAGCATGGATGGAGTGTTTGTGTGAACTAATATAAATTCAAAGTAAACATCATTACATAAAAGGGTACGGTCTTTTTTTTTTTAGTTTTATTCATTTCAAATGGGCCGGATCCGGCCCGCGGGCCGTAGTTTGCCCACGGCTGCTTAGCCTTTCTAGCACCATCTTACCTACACTAGAAAGAGTCATGTATGGTGCTGTACACGGTACAAAGATCAGCAGCAGTCTAGGGAAGCAGGGAGAGAATGGGACTTTTCTTTTTAGTGATGGGGAAACAGACTCAGAGAGGTTGAGTGACTCGTCCACACAGCTAGGGTTTGGGGTGGTGGTAGCAGGAATTTTACCCAGGGCCTCTCATCCCATGTGCTTTCTGCCAGCGCATCCTTCCTCCTATGCCTGGGGGGATCTCACAGGCCAGGAATATGGTCTCTTGGCCCCAGGTGACCCAGATCTCCCTCCGGTCTCACATTGGAGTTGTGCCCCAGGACACCGTCCTCTTCAATGACACCATTGCCAACAATATTCGCTATGGCCGCATCACAGCTGGGAATGATGAGGTGCAGGCTGCTGCCAAGGCTGCAGGCATCCATGATGCCATTGTGGCTTTCCCTGAGGGTGAGCTTCCCTGGCCCTGTTTTGCCCTGGGCTGTTACTCCCTCTGACCTCTGTTCCATCCCTTCCTTGCCTCATCTGAACACAGAAACCAAGTTTATCATGTGTGACCTGAGGGAGGTGGGCAATATCCACAGGGTATGAGACACAGGTGGGCGAGCGGGGACTGAAGCTGAGCGGTGGGGAGAAGCAGCGTGTCGCCATCGCCCGCACCATTCTCAAGGCCCCCAACATCATTCTGCTGGATGAGGTGAGGGCCCTGGCCAGCCTTCACCCCTCCCTCCTGCCCTGCCTGTGCCCATGCCATTCCTGCGGGGCACTGTTTTCCAGGAATCCATGTTTCACAAAACACCTTACAGTTCTCAAGTGCAAACAAGGTTCTTTTTGATACCTGAGACCTCGGCCAGCAGCTTGCTGGGAATTTGGGTGTCAAGGGCAGTTTTACCCAGACCCTCTCTGTAGGCAACATCAGCGTTGGATACATCTAATGAGAGGGCCATCCAGTCTTCTCTGGCCAAAGTCTGCGCCAACCGCACCACCATTGTAGTGGCACACAGGTACAGGACCGGGGCAGCAGGCAGCGGGGCCACTTTTGGGGGTGCAGTGGGTAACTGGTCTCTTGACTTCTCAGGCTCTCAACTGTGGTCAATGCTGACCAGATCCTCGTCATCAAGGATGGCTGCATTGTGGAGAGAGGACGGTAAGGGGCACAGCAGGATGAACAGGGCTGGGCCTCTGAGAGAGGAGCTCTCTCTCGCCAAATCCCTGTTACCTCTGTGGGCTGGTGGCGAGGACTCTTGTGGTGAAACTGATAGTTGGGACTTACACTTTCCTCCTTGCTCCAGGCACGAGGCTCTGTTGTCCCGAGGCGGGATGTATGCGGACATGTGGCGGTTACAGCAGCAGGGACAGGATGAAATCGCTGAAGATACCAAACCCCAGTCTAAGGCACGGTGACCAAAGTTGTGGCTACTTCCTTCCCAAAGGGTCACTGAAAGGGAATAAGATGTACCCTTCTTCCATGGCATATTTTATCCTGGTCTTGGGGTGCTGTGCTAGCCAAAGTGGGGGAAAGGGACCTTTCAGTAAAGCAATTTTGGGGGAAATAAAAGTGTGTGGACTGTGCTAGGACCACTGTGACTTCATGATGTGGCATATTGCAGTAGGCCTCTACTCTTAGATTGGGTGAGCATTCTTGACAGGACTCTACTGGTTTTGGTTGGAAAAGAGAAAGAAACACACCACTTGGATGTGCTATTAACTACCAATATCCTTTATTCCTCCCAGGACCCTCCCTGTCCCTACACATGCAGGCAGCCCCAGTGTAAGAGGGATGACATGATGCAGGGAGTTGAGTGGGGCCTGGCCAGCATCCCCGAGGGCCCAACCAGGGAACAGTTCACAGCTGCTATCTCCCACGTAGCTGGAGGGCCAGCAGGGCCTTCTATAGACTGAGTTCCACAGTTGTTTCTCTTGATACTCCCTGGAAACAGCCTTTACGTCATTCCTCGTCTTCACTCCAGGCTGCTCTTGGCCTCCTCTCCCTGTGGACCTTAGAGATGTGAGGGCCACAGTCCTCCTCAGCTAAGCCTCCCTCCCCAAGCCCAAGGCCCTAGCACAGGCTGCAGTTGGACGGCTTCAGGCTGCGGCTTTGGGCCTGGAGCAAGGAGAGGGGAAGGGGAAGACAGGGTGTGATGTCATGGAAATGAGGGGGCAGTCCTCACTTCCAAGCTCAGCATGGGCCGGAGTCATACTGAAAACGAAAAGACAACCACCATTCCAAAACTTTCAACCACTTGGAAGAACCCCCAAAACTCCTTACTCACTCCCAGTGCAGGACCCACCTCTACCCCATCCTCATACCTGCTTTCAACCACTTGGAAGAACCCCCAAAACTCCTTACTCCCAGTGCAGGACCCATCTCTACCCCATCCTCATACCTGATGCCGTCGGTACTCTGCCTCACTGGCTGACAGTGCTTGTGCTAAAGCTAAGTCTTCTTCCTCCTGAGAACTGGGAGAGAGGAGCAGCTTAAGTTGGATGACAATAATATCTAAAATATAAGCATCTGATCTGTTAGGCACCATTGTGTTGAACACTTGAGTATTATCTCAATTTCTATACAACCCTACAATGTAGGTATTAGTATGATCCCATTTTATAGAGGAAATTAAGACCCTAATGGGTTAAAAAACTTGTCAAACGTCATATAGTTAGTAAGCTTAATTTTGGACCCAAGTACTTAACTATTACCTTTTTTTTCTTTTAATATATTTTTATTGCTTTCAGAGAAGAAGGGAGAGGGAGAAAGAGATAGAAAAATCAATTATGAGAGAGAATCATTGATTAGTTGCCTCCTGCACACCCCCCAACTGGGGATCAAGCCCAGAACCTGGGCATGTTCCCTGACTGGGAATCAAACAGTGACCTCCTGGTTCATAGGTCGATGCTCAACCACTAAGCCATGCTGGCCAGGCCTAACTATTATCTTGCAACAGATCAGAGTGTTCCCACCTATCTCTTTCCCACAACCCATCCTCTTTCACCAGAGAGTACGTACCTTGGGACCTGGGGTTTGGTCTCTGCCAGGGACAATTCCAGGGCTCGCTGCAGAGCCTCATCCTCACTCTGCAAAAAAAGAGAAACAAGACCAGTTGCCTTGGACTTTACTCTGTGTGGGTTTGCTTCTGTCCGTTCAACCTCTGCTCAACTCACCAAGCCATTCTGCAAAGCAATCACTGGAGGGGCAGTCCATGATGGAGACTGGGCTGTGGCTCTAAGGCAGACATTCAGTAGGCAGAGGTCAAAAAAAAAAGAAAGAAAGAAAAGTAAGAGAGGCAGAGATCAGAGATATGAAGGAGGAAAAGGGAGAGAAGAAATGGGGAGGCCTACCTGATGGGAGAGGTAGATGAAGGCAAGGTCCGACTTGGGCTGGGGACGGTGCTTGTAGAAGAAGCCAGACCTTGTGTTCTGGAGATGGCAGCAAGTCTGTAGGGAAGAGACATTCTTGGCATGTGTCCTAGAGTAGTCAGCTCGCATGCTCCTCCCAGGCTTTACCAGGGAACTCAGGAGGGAGCTCCTCCAAACAGTCTGGAAAAACATGCACTTAAAAAGGAAGTTAAGACTCCCTAGTCAAAGAGGACAGGGTTCAAACTTCCCACCTTGTAGTTATAAAGACTGAGTCAGTTCAGAATGATGGAACGGTCCCATAGGTTAAGTAGAAGACTTGGCTGCAATTACCCTGCCAGGCTGGTTGGGTGCCCCTTCCCAGAGCAATCATGGTCCAGTGGGTGACGATGCTTAATGCAAAAGTTTCGGCCACAGCGTTCACAGGTCAGTTTCATCATTTCCCGCTGCCGGCAGCCAGAGCGTTCACACTTATTGGTGAAGATCTGAGGTGGAGTTGGGAAGGTTTGTCTCTGCTGAAACTGACCCCCTTTTCCAACCCAGTAAGAATAGTTGTTCAGGTGTCCAGGCATCCATAAGCCCAGCTGGGTCATGGCCAACCCCTCCAATGCTTACCTTACGTTTTTGCTGTGCTGGATCCGAGCGACAGTCTCGGTCAATGTGCTCCCCAACAGCGCGGTCAGGGGGCTCCCCTCTGGCCACAGGCACAGGCACATTACAGAGTGGGCAGACAGGTACTTGGATATCCTATAGTTAAGGAACAGAGCTCAGTCTGTGACCCACTCCCACTTCAACCAAATCTCTGGTCCTGAAAGAAACTCAGACAATAAAGGAGAGGAAGCAGGAGGCAGAGGAATTGCAGGGATTCCGCATGCATCCTCCATCACCCTCACCTTTTGGTAAGCAGATCCACAGTGATGCTGAGCATAGGCCACATGGTCTGCACAGAAGATGCCCGAGCAGGCGTCGCACTTGAGCGGTAGAAAATCTGCAGGGAATATGTCAGACTGCAGGTCCAGCGGGACCCTGACATCGTTCCGGGTCACTCAAGCCTTCCACTCCGAGGAAGGAAAACACCACCTTGTTTGCAACAAACCACCCGGCTCTAGTCCACTCTCCTTAGCCACGCCCCCTTTGACACCGTCCCAACTTCGAGCCCGCCCCTCCCGGCATTCCCAGCCCCCGGAGCCCACCCTTCGTCTCGTCTGCAGCTCCAAGCCCCTCTCCACCCGGTCCCACCCCCTCGCGCTCTGCCCTCACCCAAGCGCTGACAGCTCGGCTCGGAACAGTGCGCCCCGAGATCCGGAAACTCCATCGCTGGGCCGGGCGAGGCCTGCTGGGAGAAGAAGAAGCGATGCTGAACATCTCTAGGGCTCCCGCTCCGGGTCCGGACTCTGGGGGGGCTCCCTGCCCCTCCCCATCCTCTCCCCCACCCAGCCGTGTTACCGGAGCCTCTGCGCCTCCCGGTCCAAAGGTCCCACTCCTCCCCCAGCGCGCACGGGCGCACTGACGTCATCGCGCAGGGCGGCACATCTCGCGCAGTCGCAGGGCGGCCGAGCGGGCCGAGCCCCGCCCGTGAGTGGGAGGGGGTCGCAGACTGAGCTCTGTTCCTCAGCTATAGGCTATCCAAGCACCTGTCGCCCACCCTGTAATGTGCCTGTGCCGGGCTAGGGACTGGGTTGGTCCTGCGTCGGGACTTAGCTCCGCGTAGAGCGAAAGGACCCGCGAAGCCGAGCACAGGTGATTTGTTGGGGAAGGAGGATTGGGGTGGATTGGGATCTTTCACAAGACGGTCCTTCGCCCACTTCTCACTCTACACCTAGCCATTTCATTCGCGGCCACGGCTGCACTTCCTCTCCACCAGCTGACTCCCATATTTCTCCAAAGTACGGATTTCTCTCCAGAGCTGTAGATCCTTCCTCCAGGCTTCGCTCTGACGCCCTTTCTGTGAGGCTCCCCGAACCATCCCCAGTCTGAGCTAAGCACACCGGCTATGTGACCTCCCCGGGTCTGTTCCAGCATCCGTGTCATCTTATTGTAATCAGATGTTTACACACACAAATATACTGGGAAGTCAGGAACCACGCCTCCCTGGTTCTGTTAGGTTCCTGGCACCCAGCGCGGTGCCTTGAACTGTGTGACTTCAGTGTGAATGCGAATTACCCACAGAGCTGGTTTTAAATGCAGATTCCTGGGTCCCGGAGCTTCTGATTCGGGAGGAAGCACCCAAGCACACAGATGATCCATGTACAACACACTTTGAAAAACGTGAGACTTGAATATTCCGAGTACATGTTAAATATTTCTGGAATGAGGCATGAGAGTCACCGGACTGATGTTCTGCTTTTCCTCCGGCAGCTTCCAGCTTCAGCACATTTTGCTTCTCACATGCCTCTCTGGCCCCTCATGACTGGGAATGGTCGCACCCTTAAATTTATCTTCCCATAAATTTGACCATGAGAACACATAAGCTTAGAGTTGAGCAATGTCCTCCAAAATAGAGGGTTAACCCAGGCCACAATTGGAAATGAGAAGACACTCCGTTCTTATTCTTACCCTCTCTCCCCCCTCTAACTTTTGGCTCTATTTCCCGATGTGTTTGCTTCTTCCAAATCCTTCCACGTGCCTGCCACTGGATGATACATTCAAAGAAAAAGACATACAGGGTAATATGGCAGTACTTTGCAGGGTTTGACAAGTGTTATTCAAGCCAAAACCTAAGGGGTGAGTATATTTTGGCAAGGTGAATCCAAGAAAGAAAGGAATGTGGTGGAAGGAGATGGCATTCCAGGCAGAGGAAACAGCAGGGACAAATGAAGATAAGAGAGAACAAGGTCCTTTAAATGAGCTTTAAAAAAAGCTTGGGGTATCTGAATCTTACGGTATATGAGGCAGGCTAGAAGGGAAATGAAACTGGAGAGCTAGCAGAGGCCAAATCACCTCAGGTATTGGAGGCCAGTTAGTATTGAGAATTTTAACAAAAATACAATGAGAAACAATAAATAGTTTTAAGCAGGGAGCGACATGATCAGATTTGTATTTTGGAAAAGTCACTTTGGCTTCAGAGTAGAGAAGAGATTGGAGGAAATATGAGATTGGAAGAAAGGAGACCAGGTAGGAAGCTGTTGCTGTAACCCAGGCAAGACATGATGATGGTCTGGACCAGAATGGGGACAATACTTAGGTATAATGAAAACTCGGTAGAGAGGTTAGATATAAGATAGATTTTTAAAAATAAGTAGCTTTCAAGTGTGTCACTGTAAGAATAAAATGGAAAAAATAAATTATATTTCCACAGTAATCACAAAGTACACATAGTCCCTGATTTATGATGAATTTATGATTTTTCAACTTTACGGTAATGCAAAAGCCATAGATGATCAACAAAAACTGGTTAGACTAAACTATGATGATCGGTAGGTTAAAGGCATTTTTTGTATGTCTTTATTGATTTCAGGGAGAGGGAGAGAAAGAAGCATCAATGATGAGAGAATCATCAATTGGCTACCTCCTGCATGCCCCTCCACTGGGGATCAAGTCTGCAACCTGGCCATGTGTCCCAACCAGGAATCAAACTGTGACCTCCTGGTTCATGGATTGATACTCAACCACTGAGCCACACCAGCTGGGCTTAAAAGGCATTTTTGACTTAATGGTATTTTCAATTTACGGTGGCTTTATAACCCCATCATAAATGAAGGAACATCTATATTCAGAACAATGTTTTTAAAAGAAAAATTCCAACTTTATCTGCAAGAAATACTTTGACCTACTTCTATGCAAAAATTTCAACCAGTTAGTATATGGGACATCTTTGACCAATCCTTCAGGGAAATTCTGGCAGCTGCTTCCCTTAATCTGTCCTTATGCCCTGAGGTAGGCTGTGAGCGGCCATGTTTCCACATATGAAATGATGTACCTCAAAATTGTCCCTCTAAAGGTCAGGAGGCTGGGCTGACTTCTGTCTTCTATAAAAATTGGGAGTTACTGCTGGGGGTGATAACTCCCCCAGGCCCACCTCGCTCAACCATCCTACACCTGCGTGCAAGCTGACTAAGCTGCAGAGACTTTAAGGAAAGCCCAGGACAGAAGTGCTGAGGCTGTGCTTTGAGGTGGGAAGCCATCAGAGCTCAAAGGAACTGTCCACAGCAGCAGCTGAAGTCAGATATAGGCCAAGTAGAGGTAGAACAGAGCACCAAGAACACCTGCTATATTTAGCCAATCAGATTCAGTTTGAAATCAAGGCCAAGAGATCAATGTTCATAATACCATTGGGCCTGTAACATATAAATGATGGGATGTCCATCTGCCATACTGTCACACTGACAGAGGGACAGGAAGAGATTGTTATCTGCAATACTTTGACTGATGGGTCACAGTGAGCTCTATGAAAATAGATTGATCTTGTAGTTCATACACATGGATTTAAGTTAAATCATTACCTGACTCTTTTGCATCCTCCCAAAGTCCGCAATTCCCAACAAAACTGGCTAACTGCCATTACTTCATTGGTTTCACTTTGTCTCTTAAGATGGTTATAAGTTATACCATTAGATTCAGGACACTGTATTTCTCAAGGCTTTTTCAGAATCTCTGGTCACAACCTGAAGTCAGGCTTATGACATGTAGGAGATTCTTGATCCAGGTGTGCACCTAGAGGCCATCTGCCGTGAGGATTCAGCTTTTGGCCTAGGCCCTTTAGAAAGACAGTTGTCAAAGATCTAGTCATTTGTGAATTCCAAGACTCCGTATCTGTTAGATCCACCATTAATCCTGTTAGATTTAAAATTATGAAATTGCTAATGTGTGCCTTTTTTTAACTAAAAAACACACACAATAATTTTGTATGATTTAATTAACCTAAGCAGCACATGTCACAGCCAAGAATTATTTTTCTGACCATCTGTCTAATCCTCAGTCTGCTGGGTTTTGGAACCCAGACATGTCAGCAAACAGTCACTGTCTGATAGTGTGGTTTAAAGTCCATACACCTTAAAATCAGGTGTGCCAAATTTCTATGTACCTTAGTCCTTCAAACTTCCACCATTTCCTGCTAATCATGTCTATGAAGAACATATTAGGGTAGCTGTCATGTCCTGATTTTAGTCAAACAGCCATAAAAGTTAGTGTGGTGAGGAACTGAGTGTGCCATTTTGGAAGCAAATCCTCCAGCCCTAGTCAAGCCTTCAGATGACTGCAGCCAGCCCTGGCTAACATCTTTATTGCAGCCTTGTGGGAGACCTTGAACAAGAACCATCTAGCTAAGCTGCCCTCAGGTTCCTGAGCCTTAGAAATAGTGTGAGAACATGTCTGTTGTTTTAGGATGCTAAGTTTTGGAGTAATTTGTTATGCAGAAATAGGTAATCAATACACTTTGGTATTGACACTTTTTTCCGACTTGTATGACACATTCAGAAATGTGTACAGGTCAATGAATTTTCATGAATTGAACACTCCCACATAACCAGCACTCAGATCAAGAAATAGAACATTACTACGCTGGCCGATGTGGCTCAGTTGGTTGGGCACTGTCCAAGCACCAAAAGGCCAGTTTGATTTCAGGGCACATGCTCAGGTTGTGGGCTCGATCCCCTGTAGCAGGTGTACAGGAGGCAGCTGATCCATGTTTCACTCTCACATTCATACTTCTCTCTTTCTCTCCCTCTCCCTTCCTTTTTCTCTAAAAAAGTCAATAAAAATATTTTTTAAAAGAAATAAAATATTACCAACCCCCAGAAGACCCCCTCCAGTCACGGCTTCCCTTCCCCCAAGAGTAGCTACTATCTTGACTTCTAACGATATTAATGTACTTTATATAAATGTAATCATATATATTCTTTTGCATCTATTTTCTTTTACTCATTTTATGTATGAGATTCACCCATATTTTTGTACTTATAGTTTATTCATTCTGTTTAGTTATCTGAATATACTACAATGTATTTATCCATTGCACAGAAAACTTCTGTTATATTTACCATATGTATTTCTCCCTAACATTTTGCCAAATTCACTATATTATTTTCTCTCTCTCTCCACATACATCATATATTAATATACTCATTCTTATTTGTTTATTTATATTTCCAAACCATTTGGTACAATTTACAGAGAATATAACCCTTTACCTCTAAAATATTCAGAATATGCCCTAACCGGTTTGGCTCAGTGGATAGAGCATCAGCCTGTGGACTGAAGGGTCCCAGGTTCAATTCCGGTCAAGGGCATGTACCTTGGTTGGGGGCACATACCCAGTAGGGCGTGTGCAGGAGGCAGCTGATCGATGTTTCTCTCTCATCGATGTTTCTAACTCTCTGTCCCTCTCCGTTCCTCTCTGTAAAAAATCAATAAAATATATTTTTAAAAAAATATTCAGAATGTGTATCCTACAAATAAGGATATCCTCATATATAATCAAAGTGAAATGATAAAAATCACAAAATTTGATCTTGAGACAATCTTTTTTCTAATATACAATTTATATGCAAGTTTTACCAGTTGTCCTAATAGTGCCCTTCATAGTAAGTTT